CGTTTCAGAGCTTGTAGAGTATACCCCGGTGCTTACATGGAGCACCCCAATCTAGCACTTTATTCTGTAGTTTGTTTACTAAAAGGCATTCTTTTGGGGTCATACAGAAAACTAACTTTGCACAGGAAGGGAAGTAGAAATGTATATGCCTCAGGCTCCTGAACACCTAGGCTAAGGACAGACATTCAAAAAGCCTGAATTGATCCAGTCTTTACAGGTTAGCCTAACCTGCCTAGGTTGAACTGATTTACAGATTTGTAGACATTCACTGTTAACTCCAGAAATGCAGGCATGACTGCAATTGCTTAGGCCAGAAGCTGGGGGGCGCAATAGCCACTCTTGGCTGCAGGTGGGCATGGCCAGCCCTGGCAGTAGCCTGGAGTGAACTGGGCAGGGTGGGGGTTTAATTCCCCCCTCCCTGCCCCACCAACACAGACCCAGGCTGGGGTCCACCTGGTGCTCCCTCTCACTGATACAGGGGATATATGGGGGTATGACCCCAAGGCAGAGAGGGCAGGGAATATATCCCTGGGTATATCCCCCTTTCTCTGAAATCTGGCAGAGGTGACAGGAGGTGGCTTATCCCACCACTCGCCCCATGCAGGGAGCAAATCAACTGTGGCGGTTGTGGCTGGCAGACCCCGGCTGCAGTACCTCAGGGCAGAGAGGGGAATAACCTCCCTCCCTGCCCCCTCTGCCTCAGGAGGCCATGATGGCCAGCATCTGGCCACGCCCCTGCTCCCACCACTGCAGCAATGAGCGGGGAGCACCAGGCAGACCCCGGCTGGACTCCATGCTGGTATTCTCCTCTCCCTGGCCAGTTCACTCCAGGTTACTGCAGGGGCTGGCTACACCCCCACTGCTGGAGCAGCAAGCAGAGACATGGCTGGCTGGTCCATGTGGGTGGTGGTGGGGAAAATAAGGCTCTTCCCTGCTCCCTTCTGGGGCCAGCATCTGGCCAGGCCCCTACCCCAACTTGTCCCTGCTCCAGCTAGGGAGCAGAGGGGCAGGGGTAGGGCCTGGGCCAGCCCTGCTCCACTGGAGTGGAGCAGAGAGCACAGCCCAGTCCAGGTTCTCTCTCAAACTGGTTTTGGCCATTTTGAAACAGGTTTATGTGCACAAAACATCTGTTCTGTTACAGGTTTAAACCAGTTTCCAATCACTTAAACCAGTTTATGTGCAACTTCTGTCCCAAGTCCTAAAGCATACATATATATTACCTGAAATTGTCTAATACAACATTAAGACACAATCCTTAGGCTATGCAATGGTGATTTCAAAGTACAAATAGACAGAGAGGCTTTAAGTTAATAGAATTTTAACACAGGAATAAGCATCAGTGTTTTAACCCCTGTAATGAATGTCCTACAGGATGAATACCAAGACAAAAAACAGAAGATAAAAAAAAACAAAACACAAAAACAAAAAAACCCCAAAAACTGTAGGGCCAAATGCCAATTCCAGTTAGATTTGTGTGCATAAATCCAGTGCAACTAGGATGAGAGAGTGTAGGCTTTGATTAGCAAATTTTGTGACTTGTTACAACTTGTCAGTTTCTGAAGTGTATCTGCCACTAAGTTCACAGGATCTGAATCACAGGCTGGAGAAAAACAAATAGTATTTACCATTCAAGATGAATAGCAGAGCTACAGCACAATATACAAGATATCCTTCTGTACAAGTATTCCAGTGAGTTTCTAAATGAATTCACTTTGCTCATTTGGCCCCTGTACTTTGAACAACCTAGTTTAATGGCAGGAATGTTTTTAGAGTGAATTTCCAAGTGAAGTAGTAATCTGTGCAGACAGCAACTTTGCAGGTTCACCCAATCAAGGCAGAGAAGCAATACAATGAGACTGCTCAAATTAACGGCAAACACTTAGAGTTAAACATGTGTCAGGAGTGTGCAGAAGAAGAGACAGTGAATGCATCTGAACAGAAGGTGAAGATAACTGAAAGACGTTCTGCAGGTAGAGAAAACTAATTTGTTTAATAAAAATGTGCAGCTATTAAATAGGTTGAATAAACAAGTGCTTCCTCCTCTAAACAGCTATTACTGCTCAGCACAGATATGGCTATTTAGTCCTTGTTCTGACTGGCATATTTTTATACTTGTCTTGTATGGGTAAAATAGCAAAAAGCAGCTACCATATGCCAGTAATTAGGCCAATAAGTTACGACTTTCTAGAGGTTTTCAAGCTGGGAGACCATCATCCTCCAAAAGTAAAATAAGATATTCTTTACTCCCAAAATGTTCAATCCAGGCAAATATACTTGATACATCATCTTGCTCAGAAGGTGAAAAAAATGCCAAAGTTTCACCTTAACATATGTATTAATGTCTTATCTGTCCTAGAATTTGGCCTTACGTGAATTGTGTAACTGAAAAAATATAGCAATTTATATAAAGTATACAATTGCAATCCTGTTTTATAAAAAACAGGAATGCATAAGATACATTTCTGGAAGAATTGCTGAGTGGATCACTTGTAGACCAAACAGAAGTTCAGTTCAACAGAGAACAGAGCGTGCGAATAAAGAGGCATCATATCAAAAAATCATATTGATTTTTTAAGCCAGCACATTTAGAGAGAGAAAACAACCTACCATGAAACAAAAAGCCAATGATTATTCCTATGGGTTAGTTTTTGTGTATGGTTTTTTCCCCTCTTTTGGTATTTTTTCCAGACTGCTTCTCAGTTCAAAAGTTACTGTAGCATACTTGTTTACCTTAGCAGTTTCCTTTAGAACAGCAAAGAATAATAGGAGATGCCAAGTTGACAGCACCAGAAGTTGAAGATTTTCAGATAAAGGACAAGTAGGATGCAACATAACACCATAAGCCAATACTCTGCATCAACTGTAACCTTTTCCAGGTAAAGATAGCTTACACTAAAATCATCCAGAAGGATACAAGGCATGAAGGGGGTGAGGTCTGCAGTCCTCTCAAATCAAGTTTAGAGTAAGACCACTGACCTATTAAAAACAAACAAGCCTCTAATCTGCTGCCAGATGGCACATTTACAATATGAAAATGCTGAGTCAGTTCTAAACTGGTACCATCAGAGTATAATCCCAGGATAAACATAACAGACTGATTGGAGGTTGTATAAATTTTTAGAACCTAGGCAAACTTGAAGAGCCACAGATCTTTTCCTCCTCACCTGCTTCCAGTAACAGCATTACCAAGGAAAGGAGCTCCTTTACTTAAAATTGTTAAGATCTGGAAACTCATGGTGTGATTCTCCAGCCTCCCTCCTCCCCACACAAGTTGCACTCAAGTCGATGGGAAATGTAGACGGTCAGCACCTTTTGAGAAATTACACCAACAACTTGAAATGCTAGAAGCTTGACAATAAGCACCTGATGGCAGGTTAATCGATCTTCCTCTCCCATTAAGCAAACCTGTTATTGGTAATCAGAAAACCAACGCATAAGCAGTTATATATAGCATTAGTTCCTTAATGCTTTAGGGCATCTTTAAGTATTATCAAGTTCCTGGATGTAAACTGGTGAACACACTTAGTCTGGCACATGAGAGATCAAGTATTCCATTCATTACTGCTCTGATTCAATGGCCTTACACAGATAATCAATAGCTAAACTGATAAATGAGAAGACTTCTTAAAAATCTATTCCTTGAGTGCTGGGACTGAATGCTTTATTCTTGACAGCTGCAATTTATAATTTAGTGACTAAGAACATTTGTTCCAGCTGTATAGGCGTACTTCTCACAGCAGAGGGGAAAAATAGAGCATTTTTGAAAGCCAGACAATTCATCTGGACAGGGAGCAACTAATTTAGTTAACATATCAGGACAAGTTATTAGGGAACTAAAAATAAGCAAAAGACACTCTTAATGTTCATAATTAAAACACTCATCGTAGGAGCTAGAAGAAAGGGAGTTCTTTAAAATAAAGAGCTAGAAAAAGTAAAGAAAAAAGTGTAGCTTTTAATGTTGGAACATAATCTTTTTCATGTGACTAAGTGATCTGTTGAGATCATTCCAGCTATTTACATTCCATGGCAATGTTTTAAGATTCCATTCAGCACTTAGTGTACCTTAATTGGATCTTTGAACTTAAGACCACAGGTCCTAAATATTATATTTTAAAATTTCCACTTCCAAGTATTCAAGATAAGTAAAGTGTCTAATCAAAAACTATTCTGTACAAATGAAATTTGTTTTCATTGAAATACCAAAAGTTATAATAATAATCATCATCAAGAAGGTCAGTTTTGTGGAAGGATTATTTTTCCACAAAAATTCCAGGATATTTGAAATCTATACGTCCAAACAAAAATGCTTGGGTTTTTTTGGACCAGGTCCCAAACTTGTCCTTTATAACAGCTAATGCCCTTAATTGTATAAAAAAAAGATATTTAGTTCTTAACATATTTCATTACATGAATTCAATTTGTGACTAGCAACCAGGTTCTTTTATATATTTCAGGCAGAATGAAGGTTAATACCTGTGTTCATTAGCTCCCCTTTAGAGCACAGAGAAATTCCTACGCTAAAGGTTTTAACAAAAAGCTGAACACAGAGCATATCTACATCACATAATGTTACATTGTTCTCATGCTGGATTCATATATAGAAAGATTCAGATTTGGTTATGTATCCATTCACTAAAATCCAAAAGTTTAAAAGAACCTTGGGTAATGCCTGGAGAACTCACTGCCACAAGATTCTATTAGAGGCAAGAACATACCCCAATTAAAAAGGACTGCATATTGCATGAAAAACTTCCAGAGCTATAAAACTAAACATTTGAAAGACACAAGCTTTGTGATGGATATGAACTTTTCTGCTCCTGCATAGAAAACTAATTTCTGGTTCTTAAGAATTTAGAAGTTTTTCTCCATGGGCAGTTAATTTCATCTACATTTTTTCCTTGACCTTATTCTGAATTTGTAGTGCAGGAAAACATCAGGAGAAACAGACCAAGTACAACAGTTCTGGACAACAGCTGCATTGTTTCCATTTTTACACTTACTTTAGGAAAACATCTGGATTGCCATTATGATGGGTAACTCATTCCTTGTTCCAGTCTTCACGTTCTTCCTTGTTTTGAAACTCAATGCTTAATTGTCCACAGAGTTTGTCTCAGTATTGACTGAGCTGGTATTTAACCTGTAGTTTGCAACCCTGACCAAGGGATCTTCTAGGTGGAAACTAGTAAGTATTTCTCTAGCACTGGAGCTCTTTGATATTAAAAGGATAGATAATCTCTGTCTCATGAAGGAGCTGATACAGGACAGCAAGTAAATACCTAACAGACTTACTGTGCCAACTCATCCTATGTATGTAGCACATCCCCAGGAAGTCCTTAAGTTATAGCTCCTGCAAATAGCAAAGACAGTATACTGATTGAAGGGGTGACCTTGAAAGGAGGCATTTCCTGCCTCAGCAAAGTAGAAAAGTTTTTGGGGTTAATAGCAAGGGAGCTGCCTCTGTTCTCTCTCTCAGCAACAAAGCACAAGTTCTTTGTATCCACCTTAGACCTGTATACCAGGGACTTGTCCAAACGCCTATCCTCATACCTCTCTGCATCCTCTGAAAGATCCATGAACTTTACAGCAAAGTCTCCAACACAAAGCTCCTCTGTGTACTAACCTTTTGACCTTGGGGTCTGTTTCACCAGCTTAGGCACCAGGGAGAATCTTCTTGTGATTTTCTTTTCAGTTCCTGTACTCCTTGCTGAGACCCAAAACCACTTCAATTTCAGGTGAAACTGATTGTGCCCAACCTCCAGAATCTGAAGTGTATTGCAATTGCTTCTGTGATTTCTTTCACCTGCAGCCTAAGCTTAGGACTGGTTGATCACCCAGCTGAGGCTGTGCCAGTAGGGGGGGAGAAAGATGATGAGTCCTCACCATTACGTTTCATTACCGCAGACCTTTTGCTTCCCAGGGCTTTTAAGCTGCTCTGCCAACTATACAGGGCAGTGAAATTCATTAGGCACAGAGGGACAGATGACTTCACAAGCTGAAAGCCAGCAGAATCAGACCATTGCCCCCTGGGCTGCACAATCCTTGATAATGCTACAGTAGCTGTATTAGGTGATAAGTGAAAATCTGCTGTACATCTGGGCCCCCATTCTCAGCGCATGTGCCTCACTTCCCACTGCCCTACACCTTGGTCAGCCACTTTCATGTTGATGGGGTAGCATTAGGCACTCATTTTGCCTGGGTATAACTGACTTCATGAGTGCTAAGCAGCAGAATCCCCTTCAATATTTAAACCACCCAGGGCCTAAGTTTGCTCCTGGCTATGTCCACTAGGACTTTGCAAAATGGAAGCATTTTGTTTTGATCAGCGTTTCGACAGAACAGTGCTTCATTTCAACTTCTTTTTTTTTTTTTGAGTCAAAACAGCTGTTCCATTTCATTCCATCAAAACATTTTCAATGCTGTTTTGACGTGTCGCCCATAGGATATATTGGGAAAGATTGAAACAGGCTATAATTTTGTCATTTCTGGCTAGATTTAGCAGAAACTTGCAGGAATGGTAGCCCCTTCTGAGGGCATGATGCCAAGTTTCAAAAAGATAGATTTAGGGGGTTCAGAGAAACTGCACCCCTTCCTGAAAGCAAAATTTGTGTCACATGTATGTGTTAAGACAGCAGGGTCAAAACTGCAGGCTTTCTAGCCCCTGATGAGGCCATGAAGCCTGCCAAGTTTCAAGAAGATAAGTACAGGGGTTTGGGGGGAACTGCACCCCAAATTCTTGAAAGCGAAGCTCACGTCACGTGTATGTTAAGCCACAGCGGGGTCAAAACAGCAGGTGTGGTAGCCCCTGGTGAGGCCACAAAGCCTGCCAACTTTCAAGGTAATAGGTGCAGGGGTTTTGGGGGAACTGCACCTGAAGCTGCTAACAAGCAAAACTCGTGACATAGATGACACTGTGTCAAGGTGCAGCAGGCTGAAAACTGCAGATGTGGTGGCCCCTGCTCAGGCCACGAAGCCTGCTAAGTTTGAAGGAGATAAGTACAGGGGTTTGGGGGAAACTGCACCTCAAGCTGCAGACAAGCAAAACTCGTGACAGAAGTGCTTGTGCAACTGTGTCTGTCTTGGGGCACTGGAAGGTGGGGTGAGGGGGAACTACTGCAAGCTTGTCTGCTAAGCTACTGTGTTACCAGTTACCAATTAATCATGAGTCACTCAGGGACCAGCTCAATACACAGTACCTAGCTACTACAGACAGACTAAGGAGAGGAAATAATCAATACAGACAATCAACTGCCCCAAGACAAAGACAGTCAGTTGCACAAGCACCCATGTCATGAGCTTTATCTGTCAGCAGTGAAGGGTGCAGGGCCCCAGAACCTCCCTGCACTTATCCCCTTGACAGCTGGCAGGCTCCATGGCCGCAGCAGGGGCTAGCAGCCAGGCCTGCAGTAGTTTCCCCTCCACCGTGCCCCAAGACAGACACAGTTGCACAAGCACCCATGTCATGAGTTTTGCCTGTCAGCAGCTAGAGGTGCAGAGCCCCAGAACCCAGAAGCCCTGCATCGATCTCCTCGACAGTTGGCAGACTTTGTGGCCACAGCAGGGGCCACCATCCCTGCAGCTTTCACCCTGCTGCACCTTAACACACACGGGATCACCCATGTCACAAATTTTGCTTGTCTGCAACTTGAGGTGCAGTGTTCCCCAAACCCCTGTACTTATCTCCTTGAAACTTGTCAGGCACTGTGGCCTCAGCAGGGGCTATCATGCCTGCAGTTTTGACCCTGCTGTGGCTTAACACATACACGACACAAGTTTGGCTCTCAAAATTTTGGGGTGCAGTTTCTCTGAACTCCCTGCACCTATCTTCTTGAAACTTGGCACACTTTATGCCCTCGGAAGGAGCTACCATTTCTGCAGGTTGTATCCAAATCTTGCCAGAAATGACTAAGTTATAGGCTGTTTGGCCTTCCCCATTATAGCCTATGGGCAAAACGTCGAAACAGCGTTGAAATGTTTTCACTTGCCTCATTTCGTTTCGAGGCTGTTTTGACCATATCTGTTTCATTTTGAGGTTGCTGTTTCAACCTCAAAACAGGTTGAAACAGCATCAAAACAAAACTGGTGGTGAAAGTTCGCACAGCCCTAAAGACCACCCCAGTCTTATGCTCAATCCATTGAGGCACAGGGTGTCTCTGTCATATCTCCAGCAAGAGTTTCCTATAGTGAAGCAAAAACTCGACAAGGTTTTCTCAAGTTCTAGTGTGCTGTGATGAAGATCAGGTGGGACATCCTTTACCGCCTGAAATAATTTTCCAGGTATTATGAGAGAGATCCACTTGTATACAGAGAGAATTAGTGCTGGGGATATGGAGTGTGTTTCTGAGGAATTGTAAAACAAGTACAACTTAGAGAGAAAGCTTCCTTTTGTGCACTTTTTGAGAAGAAAAGATCATTTCCCTCCTTGACTCAGACTAACAAACCATTCTAGGAAACTTTCCTTGGGGACCCTTGCTCTTATTATTTCCTTAACCTGTTAGGTCTATTCTTCTACTGTGTTCTTGGCTTTTATCAGGGGAAGCAGCAAATATGGGCAGACTTTTCAAAAGAAAATTTCAGTGCTTCTGGAAATATTTCTTCTCCTTTACAGTTACACACAAAGGGTCAGAATGCTCTGTCATTTATTCTTTTGTTCCTTGAATGCATAAATGTACAAGCTTTTGATAAACACTGGCAGGGACCCAAGTTTTTGTGCCACAGTGTTTTAATGCTTCAAAAACATGTGGGATTCTCTATGCCTTTCATCTTTGGCTTCTGTGGCCTTTCAAAACTATGTATGAAGTTTTCCTTTTCAAAAAGACAATTGAAACAAAACATAAATCAGTGGAAACACACAATCTGTGCCTCTTCCATCGCTCAGACTACATCTTCCTGTCGCTGAACCTCGCTGTACCTGGAAAAGGCAGAATCTCTATTTTTGTTGGAGGTGAGGATCTGAACTTCTGTGTATTTGTCTATGGACAAGCTTTCAAATCTATGTTTCCCTAACCAGAGTTGCTAGCGTTAAGTTTGAATTAACAGCTTCTTCATTAAGTAGCTGGATCAGGAAAATGGATGTTACCAGTACTCTCCTTCCCTGGATTTTCTGAAAATGATATAGTGCTTAGAAATTAAGTCCCTCTGTTAATTCAGGGAACAGCTACAGGAATCAACAGTGTCTGTGCAAGTTTTCCCAGACTGTTTTCTTAATGCTCAACAAATCAAATGTGGCCAAGAGGGAGAGTCCCTAAAGGAAAAAAAGTCAGGATTCTGTATCTGTTAAAGCCTTGGCCTTGAGCTTAGACTTAACATGGATTCCAATGAAATGGTAACTGTGCTTGTTTCTTTAGTAATGTAGGGTACAGCTGGGCAGAGGTCATCAACTCCTTTTATGCTGACTGCTGAACAATGAATTCTGCTTATACCAAAGACTTTGGTATAAGCAAACTTTGGACTGCTGTTATGAGCAATGCCCAGGCAAATCCTTGCATCTCCATGCAGCTAACTGTAAAATCTGGCCCAAAGATGGTAGGATTTAAAGTGATGACTTCAAGGTGGAAATCTCTGAATCACAACAGCAACTTCCCCAAACCTTACATCATCACACTTCTAACAAAATCCAATACCCTGGAAAATGTCTGTTTCTACATTAATTAAAGCCAATAGATCAAGCCACGGGCTAATACCGTGTTGGATGCTGTAAGGGAAAACAAGTAGCAACAAATCTATCTATACTTGAATAAAAAATTTGTTTTTCCTGGCTTCCAGTAAACTAATCTCATTATGTGTTGTCTAGTAGCTGCTATACCTGTTATAGATGTATTTAGGAATATTACTTCCTAAATCCTGTTTTATTGACAAATATTCACTTGGTGTGCTTCACACATATTAAGACAGAATAGCAAAGGGCATTTACCAGTGTTTGGGGGAGGGGAGGTTTCTTCCTGAAGCTTGTCCTGGGCAAAGAATCCAAGACTCCCTCCCCTTCCAGAGAAGTGCCCCTCATACTGAACCACAGATCAAGGCTTTTTGGCTTGCTAACCTTCTGGTCCTATGTATCTTCCTCTTGGCTACCCAGTGGACCAGTTTGGCTAGAAGAGATAATGCCTAGCCCACAGCTAGCTTGTTAGGGCACTTTGCTAGGCCATGGGAGATGTAGGCTCAAAGCCTCTCTAGCTGAAAGGGCCTATCCAATCCAATCCCCATTCCCTGGGCAAAGACTTTAACTATAAGGCTATTGGGATTAAAGGTGCATGGGTCCTTCTCTTGTTAGTTATGCTTTTACTCTGACTAAGTTTGCAGGGAGCTGCGCAGAATTACATGCTTCCCCAGGCAGAATACAAGCATAAGCAGCTGTAGCAGATCTCTTCTGAGCGTGTAGGACAAGTCCAGTCACACTGGTAAGTGG